CTGCTCAGAATACCATGAATATTAAGACCGCTATGACAGCCAGTACGGTTGTTCTGCATTGGTGGTACTAGGATGCTCCAGCAACGGCGCGCAGCCGTGTTGGCTCTTCATTCCTGTGTTATGGTTTAATATATAACAACTTGATATGATCTTACATTACTATATGCAAATTCCATAAACATTATAAAAGGCCATCAAATCTGTTACTGCTTCATTTTTTTTTATATTTATTTTCTATCCGACAGGTTGGCGACAGCAAATATCTATTATCAATTGCGAAATTCGCACGTCTTGCTGGAATACGAAAAAAAGATTGCCAGTACAAATTCTGCCTAAAAAGTTTTCCTAGTGGCCACTCGTAGTAGAAAATCCTGGATTTCGTCAAAATGCTGATGTTTTAACAAAACTTATCCGGAACAACTGCCAAAATCATGAACCACAAGTTCCCACTAGTTCTTCCGCTGAAGGGCTAGCAAGTTTCCAGCAGTTTTGATCAGTGTTGCATTGCTTGGTGGTCAACGCGCTACAATCCTGGCATTCGTTATACTTCCTGGTTGGATTACTAGCTCAGCGGCTGGTAAGCACAATTAGTAAGACGGTCAGTAAACACGATTACTAAGCTAGTAAACACTTGGATTGCAGAACACTACCACCTCGACCGATGTGATAGCTAATCAACTAGGACTACTTAGATCACCTATAACTCGTACTTGTTTACAAGACAACAAACTATTGCCAATAAAAGATACGATTTAAGGGAGTGAAAAACAATGTCCGGGCCCCGTCGTAGTAGCTCGGGGCCGGACAGTGGGCCGCCGCCGTCGCAGACTATGCCGTCAGCTACGAAGCCCATGCCACCTGCACCAAGCAGATTGTCAAGATTCAGTAAAAAACTAAAGAGAAAAGAGCCACCTGCACCACTGAACGATTTACCGCTCGATGCTCCTCCAGTTGAATGTCCACCTACTTATGACGTATGTGTCTCCTGTGAATTTATGCTCAGCTTTTCATTACACTATCTTAAACAATTGTACTAAAATAGTTTTTTCAAGCTGATCTCCCCTGACTAAACTTTCACTTCAAAGACAGTGCTAACTTTACACTGGTAAAGTTTACAGTGCTAACTTTACACTGATCGTAGCTGGTGAAGTAAAACGGACAAAGAACTTGAACGGTATGCGATCTGTAAGTCAATGATGTTGGAAAGATAT